TCGTAGTTCACAAAAAGCACATTATGCCCTCTTTTAGCACTTAAGCTGATTTGAGTAAAGCTATTATTGCTAAACTGGAAGCAGACAAAAGCTACAGGCCAACATAAAGCTGTATATCCTCTTACAGACAATTAAATGCTCACTTTTACTGATCTTAGATCTTGAGGCGTAATGCTCTAAAATGCGAAGGGCTTGTCGTTTCATGGCTTACTTTCCAATTTTACTGTTAGACAATATGTGACTGTATTCTTTATATGGCATGTCAGAAACATCCATCACTCACATGCTTATAAACTAACCTGCAAGGAAGTAATGAGCCGAACACAGTGACAATGTAGAAGATGCGCTTTTCACTAAAGTCCAACAAAGATATTCTAGATGCCCAACTACTATTAGGCCTATATAGACAGTTATTGCACCTGTAAGCTCAAAAACACTGTTTTGGCCCATATAGACTGTATTAAAGATGTACCACTACTGCTGAGTTTGTATAGCAGCAAATTCCATAACAATTCTTCCAGGTAGAAGTGCAAATGACATGTATGAACATTGGAACAACACAAAACTGCAGTCAGATGGAAAATGTTAACTGAAAAAGCCCCTGAAGTAAGACTATGTGTGATAATTAGGGCTGAAAGATTACACATGAAAATCACAATTTTAGTCACTTCCCATCTTCCCCCCAAGATCCTTTCATGACGCTTGTATAGGTTTATGCACCAAAACAGTCATAATTAATTTTTACATGATCATATTCCAGCCTCTCTTTATCCCTTAGAATTAAACAGGCTGTTTTTGTTGCTGTGTCTTTAAGATCTTTTAGACATATATATGTAAATGACCTCAGTTCTGACTGACTGTCCCGTACTGCGCCTCATTCAGAAATCAGTCCAGGCTGAAATACTCATTATAACTTCAGCGTGAATGGGTGCTGTAGGCTGAATAGGCGACTGTATGTAAATGTGTCGGTTTTCATGACATCACAAAACAGTGAATACAAAACGGGCTGTTTGTCCATAGTTTCCAGCTATGGACTGTATGGACTGGGGAGAGAACGGTACACTTTGAAACTTTAACAGTGTTTACATGCTACATCTTTTATTTAAAAAAAGAATGTGAGGAAAATTCAGTTTTCCATGATATGGGCCCTTTAATAACAGAGCTTGTGAACTGTAGATGAAGCACACCAATCAAAAGCAACCAAACACACATGAGTGTGCTTTGTACACGACAACACAACCACAACTAACCAGCAGTAAATCGCAGCATTTAAGCCTCAAGCCAGAAAAAAAATATTCTGGCTTTTTGGCCAAAATAACAGGCCTAATTTATATTTAAAAACAAAATCAGTTTAAATTACAGTCACATTACTGAGTACATTACTGAGTACAATACTTGATTACCAAGTATTTTAGTACCAACAATCAAATCATGATCACACACCAATCTGCTTGTTTACAAAATCACACACCACACATGTAACATAAGCATAATTTTCCCATTTCAATAATATCACAGCCTCATTAAAGGGGAACTCCACCGATTTTTAAAAAACTCCATGAGACATAAACAAAGTCATTCAGAGTGGTTTGGTGTGAAACGCTCCGTTCCACAGAAACTTGCTGAGCCTGAATTGTTCACAAAGGCGGTGATAGGAACCGGACGTCCCCCCTCTAAAATCTCCCTCAGAGACAGTTATAATATGAAATGGTTATTAATACGCTGCCTCGTGTCTGACACACTGTTTAATGATAGTTTTGTGCTTAAAATTTATTTGAATTAATTTATTTTAATCCTGTCATGGCGCAGGGGAACATGCAAGCCACTGAAAGGCAAAACAGTCCCCAAAGAAAACTTTGCTGCTGTTGGAACAAAACCTTGTATCTCCAAAATGGCAACTTTACAGGAGAAGGAAAAAACATACTTTACTTTTAATGTGAGTCAATGGAACCTGACTTTTTTTTCCCCAAACAATTTTGGGCTCATTCTTTCGGTCCTTTCTTTATGAAATTACACACAACATAAAAGACAACAGGCAATTTCACATTGACATAAACTGAAAAATGACACAAATGGAGACACGATTGTTCTGACAGCAGCGATTATTTTCAGATTTATGACTATTTTACCATCATCAACATCACATATAAGAACTTAAAGGCACATGTAGGTTCACTGGTGGTTCTGGATAGTAAATAAAATGGCTATACTTTTGTTGTAGACATTGTAACCCCTGGTTTCTATCCCCACCACTGTAAAGAGACAGAGTCTGTAAGTTCCTCTACAGTAAAGCATTTCACATCAAACCACTCTGAATGACTTACAGCTCAAGGACTGAATATTCAGAATTTCTGAAAAACTGGTAGAATTCCCTTTTAATAAGGCAGACAGTAAAAGACGGCTGACACTGAGATACTGACTGTTTTCATACAGTCAAAGCAGAGACTGCCCCTCTTGAGTCAGAGTGAAAATGAGGATCTGAAATCGATTCTTCCGGAGCCGGATTGGGAATGGCTGCAGTGACCTTTTCTGAATGTCATTTTTCATTGTTGTCTTCTGTGCCATCACAGGCTCACTCACATATGTGAGTCGGGAAGCGCTGCTGTGATCAATACGACTGACACGGCTGCCCTCAGTGTGTGGATTCGTCCACGCAGGCCTGCCTGGACAGCTTTATCAGATAACTGAAACTGTGCTGGGGGGACACTCACATGTTTTTATACGGTTTCGAGAGTCTAAAACACAACTGCCTGCCTACGACTGAGCAACCGATATGGCAGACGTGCAATTCCCAAACATCTGAAGCATACACACTTAAAAAGATGGTTCTTCAAGGGTTCCTTAGAGAAGGTAGTGGTTTATTTAGAACCATGAGTTCCGTGTAGAACCATTTCATGCTTAAATGGCTTACTGCATGTTGAGATTGATGGAGAATGTGTTGTATACTGTTCAATATGGAACCGTTTTGAAAGTGGTTCTACATAGCACCGAAAAGGGTACTGCTGTTGTTATGAAGTCAAGCTTGTAAAAAGAGAAGAACCATTTTTGGTGCTATACTCTAAAAAAAAGATGGTTCTTCAGTCAAGGCAATGGTTCTGTTCAGTACCATGAGTTGCATATAGAACCATTTCATGCTTAAATGGTTCTTAAGATTGATGGAGACTGTGTTGTATATGGTTCTATACAGATCAATTTTGAAAGTGGTTCTATATAACACCAAAAAGGGTTCTGCTGTTGTTATGAAGTCAAGCTTGTAATAAGAGAAGAACTATTTTTGGTGCTACACTCCTAAAAAAGATGGTTCTTTAGTAAAAGCAACGGTTCTGTTCAGAGAACCACAAGTTTTATACAGAACCATTTCATGCTTAAAAAAGGGTTCCTCTGTTGTTACAAGCGTGACATCGTAATATAGAACCATTTTAGGTGCTATACAGAACCACTTTTAAAAAGGTTCTATACGAAACCATACACAACATGTTCTCCATCAATCTAAAGAATCATTTTATGATCCAAAGAGACATTCAAGCACGAAATGGTTCTATGCAGAACTCATGGTTCTAAAAAGAACCACTGCTTTTACTTAAGAACCCTTGAAGAACCATCGTTTTTTAAAGTGTGTATCTTTCTACAGCAAATATGGACGAAATTTAACACAAAAAAATAGAAGTAATAAAAATAAAATGAAGAATTGGGGGAGGAACGGTCGACATTCCTGTCGCCATGGTTTCAGTGGAGCGCGAGCGAGCGCCGTGCTGAATGGAGCGGCCCGCGCGTTCCCTCCCGCTTTTATGAATGGAACGGCAGCGTCACGCGACCCTGTGTTGCGCGCGCGAGCCCCACAGGTTCACGAGCTCTGGGCAGACAGGCTCCACTCGGCGCCCTGACCGCTTTCAGTGAGCATTTACGGTCCTAAAACATGAACAATGAATAAAGCAACAAAGCTGGAGTCGGATTCCTATTCGCTATAGCTTCTTGTTCGAATTTCCCCGTTCCACCTTAAATGGCCCGAATCGCCAGAATGTAACTGGTACACCACTTAAGGTGGAACGGGGAAATTCGAACAAGAACCTGGCGAACAGGCAGCCGACTCCAGCTCCGTCCGAGGCCTGCTGTTCGCCTTATAAGTACACAAAGCCAAATATATACGTGCGATTTTCGAGACATAATATTAGCCTCGGCTGCTCTGGGCTTCTAAAACGGATGGGCTCTTCAAAAGCTCATCATATCCTGTGACAGAATAACGTTAGTGAAGTGGATTAAAGCAAATCCAGCCTGCATTCCGGCTCATCCGTGCCTCCTCCAACAGGCCCCAGTTAAATGCATGCATAGCCCACTCTGTAAGCCCCCCTCCCGCACCCCCAGAAAAGGGTAATGGCTCAGTCTCGCGTGCATTCTCACACACAACACACATTCTGCAGCACCGAGGCCAACTGCGTGTTTTTCTTTTCTTTTTTATGAATGAAGCTCTGTATGCAAATGAGTGCGATTCAAAGAAAGGAGGACAAATGGCGGATAGGCAAACATCAATGAGCTCCAGCGCATGTAGCTTACATACACATAAATCAGGCCTGGAAACTGAGGTCGCAGCGTTTTTTTTAAAAGGGAGATTCTTCAACAGTAAATCCCTTTTCGCTGAGAGCCCCCCTTCCCACCCCAATCCTCCTCCCTCCCCTCTGAAGGAAGCCAGAATATGAAGGAGAGGGCCTGATCCCCCCAACCCCCTTTCTTTTTCTTTTTCATCGCCCACTGTCAACACTTAACAGCCAACACGACCCCCAAAAACACTATTTTCAACCTCAAAATAGCCCCCAAACGCACCCCCCCCCTTCCCACAAACACACACACACTCCTGCTTGTCCTAATGCCCTGAACGCTATAGCTACAGGAGACAGTAGGAAGGCTGCAGCCAAATCCGCGACACGAAACTCGCACAAGAAGGGAGAGGGAGATAGAGAGAAAGAGGGAGAGAGAGAAGAGAAGAGCTTGTCCCGGGTACTCACTCGTTCGGGCGTGTTTCTTCAATCATTTTCTCGTTTCACCTAGAAAAGAATCCCACCGCGGGTGCGCTCTTTTCGCTCGTCATTTTTTTTCTCGCTCCGTCTTCCAAAATAATCCCTTCACGCAGCTACCGTCTCAGCCAGAGCCAAAGCCGCCGTCCTCCTTTTCGCCTTAGTTTCTTCGTCGGTTTGTTTTGCTCTCCTCTTCGTCCCCCGTCTTGACGGTCTTTCGTTTCTCTCTCTCTCTCTCTCTCTTTTTTTCCTCCTTTCCTCTGGAGCTCTGAAGCAGTTGCTGGTGAAAAAACGAACCAGAGCCTCGTGCGCGCGCTCGGCAGCCCCGCTGTAGAGCTGAAACGAACCGTTTTTCGTTTCCTTTAGTCCAGATTTGCTCTCGTGTCTGAGCCGAGTTTCCCCGCGGTGCTGCTGCTGCTGCTGCTGCTGCTCGCTAAGCGCTGATGTTGCTGAGGGTGGCCCCGTACGAGCCCCATCTCTCATTACTCCATGTTGGATTCTGCAGCAGGCAGCAGCAGCCCGAGAAAGGGGGGTGGGGGGTGAGAGGGGGGCAGGGCGGAAACGATGACGTCAGCTTCGTAGCACTTCTGACAGCAGGCTGACTTTTAATCCGAGAAGTGGCCTCCACCATTAACTACTGATTATATTTCCATTCAGAAGCTCTATTACCCTATTATAACCGCTCTGTAATGCCTGCCAATAAAACAAGCCTCGCACAGTTGCTGCATGTGGCAGTGTGACGGCAATGGGAAGCAGGTTTGCAGAGAAAATGACTGCAGTTTGGACAATCCAAGTTTATATTCATATCCACACCGTGAGCTTGTGGATATGAGCTTTATGAGAGTGTGTGTGCTGGTAACCCCACTGTAGTAATCTCATCTATTACACAACAGCAAAATGGTTTTTGAAGTGGTACTTTAGTGGGCCATTTCCTGCAAGACGTGTAATCAGGAGCAAAGGTGGACAAGCACAGGCTCTTTATCTGTCTCTCTCCTGACAGTGGGAGAAAGCTGAGGATAAGGGTGGCTTTGATCAGGCCAGAGCAGGCATTTTCACATCTGACAGGTAGGTTAAACAGGGACCGTCCAAATTCCTCACTGATCACTTTAAATCAGGGATTTCTCCACAAGATTAATCACTGGATGGGTTCTACGTTCAGAGGCGTAACGAACGACTGTCTTGTAATATCAACCAACAAACACAAGCACTCAGTGACAATTATATATCACCACTGTCGGAACAAAACCTCATATCTCCAAAATGGTAACTTTACAGGAGAAGAAAAAAATCTACTTTTATTGTAAGTCAATGGAACCAGACTTTTTTTCCAAGCCATTTTGGGCTGCATTTTTGGCCCATTCATCATGACATTTACACACAATGTAAAGGGCAACAGGCATTTTCAAATTATGTGAAAAACTGAACATTTTTTGACAAACAAAAATGGAGATACAAGGTTTTGTTCCGACAGCAGTGAAATGTTGTAAATGTAACTGAGATGGTTTTGGTTTAGTACACAGGATTGGTCAACCATTGTTAACTTTGTTGGAAAACCACCATGAACGGACCTCAGCAATTGTATTTGGATGCCACCAACTGGTCAAAAATCTGACTTTTTTTTTCTCCAAATAAATTCCACCCCTGAAAACATTTCATCATGTAAAATCTAAGGAAGCATTAACATTTCAGTGAATCTCTGCAAACATCAACAGAAATCATAAAATGGTCTCAGAGTTTAAAAAGTTACCAACAGGGTCACATTCAGGCTGTTATTCTTATTTCATTCAAGCATGATTCTGTAACACCAATGGACCATTATTAGTAGAAAAGAAACAGCCAGATTATTTATAAATCATGTTCTTTATTTAAATCAGCGTTAGGCAGTTATGCTATAACAATAATAATAATAATAAAAAAAGAACATAAGATCCAGTCAGATCAACTGCCCTTGGCACTGTATGAGCATTTATGGAAACGTACAAAGAGTATGAGGTGCCTCTAATATACACGAGGCCCCAAGACTCAAAAAAGAAAAAAAAAAAAAAAAACAATACCAACCTCTTCATGATATTACATGTCACTCATCTATTGGGTTCTTAGTAATAATCATCATCAGACATACTGGATTGACACCCTTAACCTCAGTTACAAACTGAGTCCCTTATAATTATCATTGTTGTGTCTGAATAAAAAGGGGAGTCATTTGATTTAACTTTACATACCTACACATTTGTGTATTCTATACCAGACACAATTTCAATAAGGTCAAAAATGCACTGCAAATTGGGAAAAAAAAAAGGAAAAAAGTGAACATTCAAAAGAAGAAAAGCAAAACAAATCTCCCCTCACTCTCATATAACAACGTTTGACCACCTTCTGGAATAGCTGGGAGCTGGAAGGAACTGGCCAATTCCCATTTTAAAGGGACTGTTGAGTCAATGCTAAAGTACAGAAAAATAAGCAACCGGAATACAACGTTAAGCTGAAAGCTAGAAAAAGACAAAACCAACTTTTTTAGCCCAACAAACCAAAACCCTGAGCACAAGAACTCATTAAGGACAAGCACTTGACACATGGATAAGGAGAGTGGATAGAGAGTGTGAGAGAAATGGAGGACTGGAGCTGCATCCCCTCATCCAGAGACGAATGCACAGTAGAGAAAACCAATAACCGTCATCAATAGTTTTGTTTCGGTTCGAATTTGTCTCTTCTTTAACACAAATCAGCAAATGAATCAACGTTCATTAGGCTGACAGTATAACATAGGCTATAAGAGATGTCACCAGAATCCTTTACAACTGGCATCAGTTTCAGTCATAATGCACACAACGGGTGGTCCTAAGTAAGCTATGGTGAGACAGTATTAGCTTTGGTGTTGCAATTTACCTACAGTCTCGATAGCCATACCGCAGAGGACCTGTTATTAAGTGCAGTGCAAATGAGACTGACTGACGTAAGCTGAAATGACTGCTGGTGACATCTCTCGTGATGGCTTTCTGCTACTGGGGCATCAGGATAAATGACAGAGGGCCCAAGAAACTGGATGGCAAACTCACAAACTTCCCTCCCCAGTATCCCTCATACAATACACCCCCTCCTCCCTTCATCTCCTTCCTAAGAGTGATCACATGATTCAGTGGCACGAGAAGCAGAACACAGGAGGTGGGAGGTAGAACAACGCACACATGGACAGATGCTGTGGATATCCTGTATATGGGATAGTGGAGAGGACACGGAGGGTTTATATGAAACTGTAACGGAGTTTATCTGACTGTGACGCCAAGCTTCTCGAGCACGCGCATGCCCTTCTCCTGATACTCCTCCCGGGTCAGCCAGAAGTTGTCCTTGTCTTTCATGATGTCGGCCAGCACAGCCCCACCCAGGAACACCATGTGCTTGCGCCGCGGAGGGTCCTCAATCCGGATCTTAAATTTCTGCAGGGTGTTAAATAGACAGGGCGTGAGTAAAATGCAGCGAGAAAATAAGTGGAAAATGCAGTGGAAAAAATAGAAAAAAAAATAATACAAAAGATATGAAGAAATAAAACAAATATTTTAAAGTTTTGAATTATTGTAAAATTAACTGGAAAACTAAATGTAAATTGTAGGTTGGAAAAAAAAAACAAAATCCGATTTAAATATTTAAATACATACATATTATATATACACAAAAATATATAAAAATGCAACACACACATACACAAATGCATATAATATAAATAGTGTACAATGCGTATATAAGTATTTATAGATAAATAAATATCAGGATAAATAACCATTCAAACAAATATTTAACACAGCAAATATTTAACCATGTAAAAGAAAAAAAGAAAAATATATTCTTATATTTTTGTTTTTATATTACATAAAAAATACATAATGATGTATAGTATAAATAAAAAATGAAAAAAGTGTAAAGAATAAAAAATTCTCAAAATAGGGTAAAAGCCAAAAGCAAACTAGAAGCAGCTAGAAGGAAAAAAAACTCTAATAATTAATTTGTGTATAATTTGTGTAGTAAGTAAAAAAGTGATAGTCATAAACTGTGGTGCTTTCTCACATAGGAGAGTCTGTAAACACACAGCCACGCGAACTATGAACAGTTTGAAAACAGGTGGCTCAAAGAGAACTCGAAGTTACACAAGCGCTCGCTAAGTTTTTAAATTTGCCTTGAGCACAGCCTTGAGACAGACCAACACATGCTGCTCCACTGTATCGGGCGACCCATCTGTACTTGATCATCCAAAAATAGAGTTCTGACAAGCGGGCAGTTCAAACCACCCCAAAATGCTGTTACAGGCCATGGCCAGATTCTACACGAGAGCACGGCCAGGCAGCACATATGTAACCTGGGCCTGTGCTGTAAGACAGTCGGCCGTGGTCCGGCTCAAAGAGGTCACTCAGTTCCACCTGCTGGTCAACGTGAGTACTTCATGCGAGTGGGACAAAAGACAACTGGACAAAAGCTAAGGCCATCTGAGAGACTCAGAATGTCTTGCTTTCCATTTTTCATGTTTGTTCATGTTAAGAAGTTAAAGCGTTCACAGAACTTGCACGAGCAGCGCAGCATCTACAGAACAGCCACTGAGCCATTTTTTCCTTGTGCCGCACACAGCAAAAAACAGAAAAAAAGATCAAAACAAAAACAAATAAAACATCAAAATGGGAGTTTTATCACTCATGGTACTAATTAAATCTTTGGTGGTATATACTTATCCGGTATGTCTACTGCTAGATATGAACATCCATTCACAATTTTAAAAAGTGCAGAGAATAAACAAATGCAAATTATCTTTTTATTAAGCAAAACTGATAAACAGTATGTCTGTGAAACTTTGTTAAAAGCGGGTATATGTGCTCTGTACCATTCCAAACGCTGTACACATGAATGGCAAACGTGTGTTAGTTATAGAGGTCACGCTGCACCAATTGGTCAGACTGCATGTCTTTGGACTGAAGGAGGAAACCCACACACACAAGGGGAGAACACGCAAACCTCATACAGAAAGGACCCTGGTCTCCCAGCCGGGGATCGAACCCAAGCCTTTCTTGCTGTGAAGTGACAGCACTACTGCGCCACCGTGCCGCCCTAGAGCTGTTTCAGTACTTTCTACATAGAAAGGCTGTAGCCTTCTCTAAACATCTCTCTTTAGGAGCTGAAAAGTGGCAGCATTCCTTTCAAAAATACTCGTCTCCCCCTCAGTCCAGCTCCATCTCTCCACTGTGCTGTCTGTGATTATTGTAAAGAGGTACTTCAACAGTACTAAACATCTGATGAAAAGTAAACACTATAGGTTACATTACATACAGCGTGGCATAAAAAAAATAGTAAAATGAACAAATAAAATGACTGTTGGTTTAGGATAATATTAATCACTCCTATAACTTAAGAATAACCATTTTGCTCTGTTTTCCATGTAATATTCGAATAATATGCTTTAGGACATAAGCCTGAAATGAAGATGTAGGCCTATAGCTGTAACGAGCACAATGGGTAGGTTAAACTCAAATTCAATCAAGCTAAATCTACTTTTGAAAACTGAGAGGTGTCTAGAATGCTTCCACCCTACCGCTCACACGTGTTTATGAATTGAGCATACTCACTGAGAGCTTGTCAACATCGCCTTTAAGCACACGCTCTAGATAGAGCTGCTTGAGTTCTCTCTCCAGCCGAGAGGGCAGGCCAGGGTACATGGTGGAACCTCCCGAGAGAACAATGTGTTTATAAAACTCAGCCCTGAGGGAGAGAAACAGAGAGAAAGAGAGAGATGAAAAAAAGATTAATATCACAAGAGTGAAGTTCTCTATATAGTGAAAGGAAAAAGCCTAGTGTTCTTGTTACATGATAAAAACAAGTATTAAACAACAGACCTGCATTAACACCTTAAACTCTAAGGGTCTGTTTGTAGGCCCACACTTTAACCTTGTACTCTCATTACTACCTAATCACTATGAAACTAACATGTATGTTAACAAAATAAATTACGGTACTTACTAACTAATAAGTCTTAAGGTACATGCAGCTGCAGTTTAAAGGGCAAGGTCAGACATTAACTGATGAGAACCAACAGAAATTTTGGGCTAAATTTGGGTGGACATAGACTTATTAGGAGGGAAGAAACAGAGTGAAATTTTTTAAATCAATCTAATGCTTCATGAAGGCAGAGCTCAGTAGGGGGCAATGATGCACTTGTCCACATTTTCCGACAGACAACAAGCATCTCGTTAGCCCATGTTTGACCCTATGGGACTGTTTAAGGGGCTAAATAAAATGGGATAAAAAGGAGTTAAATAAAGCGTATTAAAATATAAATAAGAACCAGTAGAGCAACCTTTAAAAATGCCATCAAAAACTATGAATAATACTATTTTTACTCAATATTTTACATCCTGCACTGCACTAAATCTAATTAAAAACAGACTAGTTTTGCTCTCTTTCTAATGAAAAATGCAGTTAGTCAGTGTTCTAGAAGTACAGCCAGTATATAAAAACATACATCCACAGAATATTCAGAAAAGCATATTGACATAAGTTATCAGGATAACGATAAATATACTCAGACAGCACAGCCCTGGTCAAGTTTGTGGTTTGTGGTCACCTGGTGTCGATATCTGCTGCCTGAATAGTGTTGAAGAGCAGCTCGGCCACTCCTACTCCTTCCACGTTAATCAGGTGGGGCTGGAACAGAGCCTCTGGTGCCTCAAACCTCTCCCCTCCGACCTTTATCACTCTGCCATCAGGAAGCTACAGAGAAAGATGAAAAGGGCTGCATCAGAGTTTGATTTCTATTGCTGACCAAACACAGCAAGCCTCTGTTGGACTATGTTTGGAGTAACAGGAAAATTCTGTACATTTTTCACCAAACTATCAGTGGAACAAAACATCTTCTGCTCATTTCTTTCTCATGTAGAAAGTGCACATGCTATTTGGCTCTGCCCTGTCCTGAGACCTGCCGCAGTAATCAAATTCTCTTTCATGACTGATCAGTTGCTGAGTGGTGGGTCTGAATGGTATCCCAGAGTCTAACTGTGATGAGTAATGAGAAGATGGCGTAGAGGTGCGTGGGTACATAAAGAGCCCATTGAGGGTATCTAGAAGCGGAAACACCCAGCGGCCCAGCTGGGGAAGGACTGTGGCCACGCAGGAAATGATGTTACATGCTAGTTAGGTACCTCCAACACCACACTGCCTCCTTGTTTCAACGCTTGATGTTTTTTTCACCGTTTTACTTTTTTCGCCCCCTCATTCCCTCGTATGGAAAACATGCTGGAAAGAAAAGCAGGACCTCCAGTGGAAAGTTTTACCCCTACACTTCACATGGTCATAGGAAAAGAAGCCATGGTTGGTCAGCAACCTTCTTCCTTCATAGTAGCCCACCCTATACCCCACCTTTCACCACTGAGCATGTGCCGCTGGCCCTCACAGATCAATCGGAGAGCAGCAGTGAAAACAGTGCAGAGGACACAAGCCTGCAAATTGAAGAACTGCCCTGCTGAGAGTTTTCGTCCAATGTTTCTCAGGTAACAGAGTAGGTTATTTCCACTGGGCAAACTGGTAAACCACTCCACAACTTTCATTTGCAATATCCCACATGAGCTTTCTGACATAGAAAGTAACCATATTCATTCTTGCCTTTGGTTTATGATGTGGCCCCTTAACCCTAAATCAATCCGTTACGAAGGTTATAGGAACTGACCGTGTAGGACTCCACCAATACAGTGGTCTCCAGAGCAAGCTTCTGCTCCTGCTCAATGTTGTAGCCCACGTAGCACAGCTTCTCCTTCATCATACGTACAGTCTCAAAATCTGCTGAGTGGTTGAAGGCGTAGCCTCGCAGAAGTAGCAGCTAGGGAAGAGCAAGAAAAGGAGAGAACTTCACTAACTGCCAAATTTCACTCGACTAACAAGTGGATTGCCTAAAACTTCTGACATGCGGAACATACTAACAAAACTACTGCATGGCTCATATATACTATTAATATAGCAACTAGAGCTGCTGGCAGTTCTATATCATAATATGAAGCACAACACAATCAGACAAACAACTGCAAGAAGCAGGTCAGAGGGGAGCACCTTTATAAGATATCGAGTGATGTCTCTGCCGGCGATGTCCAACCTGCGTGTGAGATGAGGAAGAGAGAAGCCCTCGTAAACAGGACAAATATGGGTGACACCATCACCTGAATCCACCACCACTCCCGTCAGGAGACCTGAGTATAAAAACAAACAACGTCAATAAAGAGCAAAGCAATAATTACATTGGAAACTACATAGGAGTGTATGTTTACATATGTTTGCATTTATGTGTTTATTTGTTTATGACTGTGTTGAACAGTGAGGTGGAACAGAATGCTTCATCAAGTATATCTATATACAGCATAAAAGAAATAAGAAGTGGCAGGTTCCAGTAAAATACCTTGGGCATACAATGTGAGCACAGCCTGAATGGCGATGTAAACTCCTGAGAACTGGTATGTCTCAAACATAACCTAGCAGAAAACACAAAATAATATAAACAAATCACATACGTATATAAGAAAATAATAATGTGAGAAGTACCAAACTGTTATATGCTTCAGAAGATAAAAAATAGCATACTTTGGGACATATGGACATCTTCCAGTGAAGAGTACACAGATAATATGTTAAATGCTAAGGACATCCTAATATGACAGAAATAAAAATGCAAATACTCTTTATTGTTGGGATGTTTGAATGCTTGTGTGTGCAAATGTTTGTAATTGATCTGTCAACAGAAACCTAAATCTGCGAGAGAGAAACGCTTTAGTCAGAGGATTCTATGTATAGTTTAGACCAATTATTCACGCTAATAAAGTCATTTTATTTAATTTATTTTTTTATTTTGTTTGTATCGTCAGGTACAGGCATAAAACCATAAAGCGTTGCATAGCAATGGTTAACGGGTGCAGATTTCAATAACTAGGCTCGTCATGAAGCCACATTCATGTCGTTTGAAGCACTGCTCTTTCTGAGGAGGTTTATGCTCGTAACTGCTGTTCGTGCCATACTTTCAGTCTCACTCAGTTGTAGTGACAGCTACAAATGGCACGTTCTGAAATTTACAAAAGTACTGAACTACTTAAACCGTACTAACCACATTAACAAATCTGCTCTTCCAATTACATCAGAACAACAGCTCAGCAGTATACCGTGAACTGTAATGTTAAATAAGGAGAAAACATTTCTCCAGCATTTGTTCACAGACATTTCCCAGTGCTGTTCATGTAGAGACCTGAAATAAATAAATACTTATTTGAGATCTCTATTACATGTGTGTGGATGTAAATAAGTAAATAAGTAAAAATATGTTAATACATTTTTCTTATATAAAACAAACTTATATGTGGCAATTTTCTGCACATTTTAGTGCACAATTTCTGTTTATTTGCCGAATATAACATACTGGTCAAAAAACAAATTACAAAATATGCTGTAACTTTTGCACAGGCAACAAATCAACAATGTCAAACAGTCTTTAGCACAAGACTGTAATGCATACATAATTAATCTTTTACAGTAATAATTTGAAGTTTCTCAACAGGTCTTGGTTTATTTTTGGTGATCACTTAAAGGTATTAGTTTCTGATGTTTTTCATAGACATGATGTTTGTGACACTTCGTGAACAGCGGAATTAGCAAAATATGTTTGACAGAGTGGATGTGATATGGAAGGAGAGAGTATTATTAACAATGCTCAAATATTTTTTATAGGACTGAAAGACGTTTGTCAGTGTTCACACCTATCCACACCTAAGCAAGGATCAACGGTTAAAGAGGAACTCTTAACCAATTTTTGCAACATCCAATACTGACACATAACTTCCTCTGTGATCTGTAAGGAATTTGTTTCAGATCTCGTCTGCAGCATGATGTTTGTAGTCTTACACAAATTTTACATCCAACATGATTACAATTTTCGACCCCTTGTTGGTGAATTGTATTCTTTTTGATGACAACCCTTCTTAAGCAGTTGTAAAAACAAACACTAAGGAATTAATGAGCTAAAATAAAATGTTTCATGAATGTTTGACAACTGAGATCTCACCAGAAAACCGGCATCTTTTGGCCTGAAGGTTTCACCAACACTTCCACACAACTGGCAATTAATGAGGACTATGACATTTGACCAAGTTGGAAGTGCTATTACTGGGGAATTTCAAAATTTCTGCATGACTAAATGGTTAAAATGTACACAAAGTCATTCAGAGTGGCTGGTGGTGATAGGAACCAGGACGATAAAGTGTTTAATGCCTCTAAAAGGTCCCTCACAGAAAGTTTTTTGCCAGAAATGGCAATGAATGGAATTATTAGTCTCACCCTAATGCTGATTTTTTTCCTCAGGCCCACAGTATTCACGCATTCCCTGATTTTCTTCCAATTTCAGCAACAGACTGGAGCACTGAGAAGCCCAAAGCATCTGTACCCCCCTACCGTAAAGATGAACACTGGTGCAGGCAGTAATGCACTGTCCAGCACACAGCAGTGGCTCATTATGAGCGCTGATGAACTGACAGCTCTGGCTGCTTTGTAAAGAGAATTAACTGTTCACTGTTACACTTATTTTTCTATATTCTGCCAATATTGAACAAAATATGGTATCTGGGAGTGAGCAATATGGTAATATTATATCACTGCGTTGTCTGTGAAGATATTTTCATAAATACAGTAAATGACAGAACATTAGTAGTGCATATTATCTCTCTCTCTCTCTCTCTCCCTATCTATCTATCTATACACACACACACATATATATACTATGAGTACATTGATTCAATGTTTCAATGTACACTTAACCAGGACCAATTATACTCATGTGGACCACACAGTTATGCTACTTGAGCACCTCTTCTTAACCTCTTTTTAAACATGCAGTTAATCAGTGCTCTGTAAGCACCAAAGCAGAAACTCTATGGCTCAAACAGCTTAAAGCAAAGTGCCACCTTTAATAAAAATCATTACAAATGTGTCACATGCGCTTTATAAAAGTGGAGCGCAACTTGAGTCTAAAAAACTGAATTACACACCTCTATGATCTTCTCACGATTCTTAGTGGGGTTCATTGGGGGCTCTGTGAGGAGAATCTTGCAGTTGCGCGAGTCGATGTTGAGTTTTTCCGGACCAAAGGTATAATCCCACAGGTGCTTCATGTCATCCCAGTTCCGGACGATGCCGTTTTCCATAGGGTAATTCACCTCCAGCATTGAGCGCAGTTCACTGGCCTCGTCCCCTACCATCAGGTCCTAAAAGGTCACATATCGGAGGTTCTGTTAGGAAACACTAATAGAAAATGCTTACAGAGGTTACTAAAATAATACCAGAGTTCATTCTGCATCCTGTACAGGATGTCCAAGTGACAGCGCAGCTGCCACTCTGGATAGCATATGCAGCATGTCCAAAAAGATGCACACAGCACTGGGGATTCTGCATCACAAACCTGCCAGTATCTTCCACCATCCGCATTCTTGGTGACTTATGAACAGACAGATGCTCCACAGTGGCTCAGAGTGAGCACAAGCATGGTGCACGCAGCCACTGAGATGAGATGGACGGACAGATGGACCCCCCCTCAAAGTCATTTATCATCGGTAGCAAATACAGCATGCATAGAACACAAACTCTTCATGCATTGAACTCATTTGTTAGTCATTTTCACACACAACCACATACAAACCCTCTTAAGCATTCTCTTCTCTTACCTCATGAGGTTCTACTGATTTCTTTTTATACTTCACCAAGTGACAATTGAAACCATGATCTAATGGCTGATATCGAGCTTAGCAACACCCTCTAATTCTCTTGAGAACGCTAATAGTGCTAATCGGTGTATACTCTCATGCCCAGGCCTGAAATGAATGCTGCCAGGCTCTGCATCTGTTAGCATTTCTAAACCCTTCCTGTGCATTTCCACACTTGAAAATTAATCCAAAATGACCTACAAACATGTCCTTGTCCCACCAACTGAAAGGTAAACCACAGAAACTTGAGTCAAGAAGTCCATGAAAACTTAACACTTCATTGCGACAGTCATGCTTCCACTTTGAGTCAACCAATGTCTTGCAATCCCCTTCCATCCACTTAACATCCGTATATTATACTAGATATTAGTCATATCACCTACATGGCACCACATGCTGTAAAGTGAATATAAACAAAACTCTCATTCTCAAAACCATGCCTGTAGCACAGTTTAGCTCTATAAAGACCATGGATTAAAAAGGTACCACAAACGTCAGAATAAGCCTTACCTAGTCTTGGTACCAGACGCCCTGGGTTCCAGATGGCTGTCTGGTGACAGGACATTTTAACTTTGGACTGATTGTTAGAATGCCTCCCACACCCTCCCCATCACTTCCAATCAGATTCCACTTTGAAGAATGTCTCACCCTATACAATCACCAAGAGAATGTGTGCCTCAAACATGTCCCCATTGTGAAGTTAGCTGTAGATAAGACATATATTGCCTGCTTTAAATCGGGGTTGTGAACTGAGGGTTGCGGTCCAGCACAGTTTGCTGATTTCTCAGCTATGAAATAACAGCTAAACCTGTCAAGTAACTGCTGAGTTGAATCAGGTGTGTTTGAGCAGGAAAACCACCATACTGTGCGGGAATCCAGCCCTCCAGAACCTTTCCAGTAGAGTTCTTCACCTCCTCCTACTTTACATGGATATTTAAGGGAATGAATTTGACATTATCCTTTAGTAAGCATCCCAGATTCATTCGCCTGACTCAGTGAACGGGACTTGTTTTTACATTTGAATTCCCACCTTGTTTTGAACACGCCCTTCAGACATCCCTCAATGAAGAGCGCAGATTACACAGCAGTAGCTACAGTGCCCCCAACCCCTAGTCAAATTACATATTTTGTTGATTTTTTAAGTGAAAATAAGTTAATACATCCTCTACACAGAACACATTTAAATATATCTCTACAAATTTTAGTGCACTGTTTTATTTGCTAATTTTAACATATTGGAAATAAATAAAACACAATGTGCCATCATGTTTGCGCAAACCACCTTCATGTTTGACTGCTTCCTCCAATATGTTAAATTTAGCAAATAACCAGTAATTGTGTATTAAAGTGTGCATAAGTGTGTTCTCTGTAGATGATGTGTTAACTTATTTTCTCTCTGAAAACCAACAATGCATGTCATTGACCAGGGGGACACAAACTTTTGCATACGGCATATGAATCCAGGCAATATTATTTTACCTAGAATTGAAGGCTAAGCTTCACCAAGCCTGTACATGGCTGTGGAAACTGTACAATGGCATGCACTGGCTCTCCTTATGTTCCTCCAAGAGTGGATGTCTATTAATTCCATTTGGCTGATGTGCTGGACTACACTTGACAAACTATCTATTCCATGCACTATATACAGACGTATTCATCCTAAAAAGCCAGCGAGCATGAGCACTGTGTGTGCTTTGGCACTGAAGGAGCACTAGTCGGGCAGCACCATGTGTTTTCAATAACACCCTGCTTAAAATTCATTTGTCTGACTTGCTTCCTGGGTACGGCACAGTCAGATCTGAACTACAGCAACTTCATACACACTGGAAAAATGCCCTATATAAAAGTGATTTGAATCCTAACCCTACGTTATAGCACACTGAGACTAATACTTGGCTAGTTAACATATGCACATGGTTACTGCATTATATGGGAATATACTGCTTTTTCAAAATGTCTGCATATATATACGTTGTGTATGCATCAATGCAATGAAAGTCATTCAGAACGGTCTGATATGAAATGATCCCTTCTATGGAAACTTAATGAGTCAGAATTGTTCACAGTGGTGGTGATATTAGGAACCAGACATCCAAAAAGTTCAATGTCTCTAAAAGCTCCCTCACAGACAGTATGTTATTACACAAAATGGTTCTGAATATACTGCCTGATGCCTGAGACATGCCAGTTTTGAGGAGGTTTTGGCTTAAAATGCATTTTTAAATCCATTCACGGTGGAGTGGTACATGCAGGTTGTTGCACACAAAATAGTCCATAGAGAAAACTTACTTTTTCAGACTTAACACTATTTTATCATCAACACTACAAATAAAACTCATGTGTTTACACATGTAAAATCACTGGTCATTTTGAATAGCAAATAACATGGGTAAGCATTTAAGCTTTTGACCTCTGGTTCCTATAGCCACTACTGTAATCAATTTCATGTCAAACTGCTCTGAATGACTTTGTTTCTCTTAACCATTCAATTATGCAGAAATACAACAATATACTGGCCAAGCCTTCAACGATTACCCACCCAACCTCACAGATAAGACAACAAAAAAAAACAGACATGAGTTGGGCAAAATGCAGACATTTAAATAGCTCCTTCCATCTTGAGGCCAACTTCTGCTAAACCTATTTCAGAGAAGAGGAACTTGGGCTATGGGGTTTGGTGAGACTTTGAAGCTCAGCCATGTTCTGTGAAAGACATTTGCAACTTTAAAACTGCAGCCACAGTTTTACAGATGATTTCCCTTTGTTAATAAGCAGACCAAAAAACTGTTGCAAGAAGGCGTCAATTTTTGGATAATAAAGATCGAGAGAATCCCAAGAAAACCAGAAAATGTTAGAAACACTCACTCACTGCAAACCAGCAAAACAAAAAACAAACCAAATTAAAAAAAATAAAAAATCAATGACTAGAGAAGCAAAGCAAACATGACACGGGTGAGATGATTTATAAGGCGAGACGAACCATAAAAAAAAAGACAAACAGCAAAAGAATTAGCAGAAAACTCAGTTCCTTAGTGGTTTTCTTGTTTGGGTAGAGTGCATGGTGCATCACACTTTCCTTGACAGGCGATTGGTGCAAACGCACACATCGGTCTGCACTTACCATCTTTTTGCTATTCTACCTCAACATGCGAAGAACACAGGAGAGAGAGTATAAAGAGGAAGAGTCAGGAGGAAGGTCAAAGGCTGGGACAGAGAAAGGACTGACTGTAGAAGAGATAATCTGATCCTGAAACATTAACCAACATTTGCACAAAGCTGCTGGCTGAAGGCCAAACTGAACCACCCAAATACAGTCTCTGGATTGATCACATATTCATATACAGCTTCAAAGAAAAGAGAAAAATAAAAAAATAGTAGGGACAAATAACCAATTGGTAACATTTGTTGTGCTGAAAATAAAGGCCTATTCACACCGAGTCTGATTTTTACAGACAAAAAAAAAAGTTTTGAAAATTACCACACTGATATTAATGCTGTCTTCCACACTGACGCTGCATAAAATTTTAATCGGAGCAAGCTCAATTTGCTAAGCTGCATCTAAAAAAAAATAATAATAATAATATCAGGCTGATCTTTCAGTTATGGCTGCAATCCAAACAAATAGGCATCATGATGGTGGCAGAACAGCTTGTCTTTCTTGTGGCAGAGCACAAAAGGTAAAGCTATGTAACATAACGTCCTCTTCCCACATTCTCATGGGGTTTAAAAAAACCCATCAGATTTGGTGTGGAGGTTCCACTATGTGTTTTTTTGTCCAAAAAAATTGTAGTTGGTGTGAACAGACCTTAATGCTCACTGCACATCAAATGACATTCTGCTCTCATGACTTAAGTTGGCTGGGCTTCCCGAAAGAATCTGAGCACAAAGATGATTCTTAAGTGGTAGAGCGAGCATCACACTGAACACTCTCTCTTCCAATTAGGATGATCTTAACGCTAAATTGCTTTTGGGGAACCGAGCCCATGATGCTTCTTGCATCATTTCTCAGGCGTCAAAATACCCATGATGACTGGAAAAAACTCAATACATTAGCAGAGTGGGGTGAGGAATGGATGTGGAACATCTATAACTCACCTTAATCTCGATGTTGCCAACTTTAGCTGTGGAGCGAATGATGGGCCTGCCCACCAGGGCAGGGAAGATGTGCTCTGGAAAGTTGGAACCTGCATAACCACACTTCACAAACTACACCAAAGAGAAAGAGTGGGAGAGAAAAGGAAACATCATCATGCACATCTTTAGATAAGCAAACTGTGTGGGAGGAAAATTATGTATATACATATCATGTATATGAACTGACAAAGGTGACTGGCTTTTACAAAAGTATTCTAACCTTTTGCAGATCATTAGATAAAAATGCTGGAGAATTTTAATTGTGCTCAACACAGAGGGAGGAGATCACTTTGTGAAACATGATCTTAATAATGATCATGGATTGTTTTTAAAACTGCCAGGGCTAATATTTCAGATCTATTTAAGCATATTATTGCTGTCGGGACAAAACCTTGTATGTCTTTTTTTTCTTTCTTTTTACATAATTTGTAAAGCAACTGGTGCCCTTTACATCATGAAAAAAAATCATGCTGAATAAATCAATACAAACGGTCCAAGATTACTTGGAAAAAAATATTTTTAAACTTATTTCCAAGCTTCTATTTTGGAGATACAAGGTTTAGTTCTGACAACGATTAAAACACAACAACAATCAATTGGAGTTACATTAGGCACAAAAATTATATATCCTGTACAATGACATACATTATGTATCTTCATCCTGAAACTAATCAATCTCTATCAAGTACCTTTGCATTTATTTCCACAAAACACTTCCACAGGAAGCAATAAAATCAATAAATTATTGACCATCAAAAAAGGGATCTATATAATATGAAAAAGGTTCAGTGACTTGTAACAATAGTAGAATCCATTTTGGTGCAATATAGTACCATATACCATCACATTTTCCAATATAGCGAACAATAATTTAACAATTCAAAGAACCATTTATGCACTGAAATGGTACAAAGGTCAAGGTCAAGAGGCTTTTATTGTCATTCCGTCTATGCAAAAGTACACAGTGGAGCTAAATTACGTTCCTCCAGGACCAACATGGTGCAACATGGAACAAAATAATACAGGACTGACGTAAGTAAAACAGACATTAGACACAGTAAACAGACAGGACAGTGCAGCACCGACACAGCACTTATTTCTGAACATGAGGCAGTGAGGATAAGGTGCAGAGATATTTCACATGTTTCTCTATGTTGGAAACTTGATGGTATATGGTTCTTTAAACTGCTAATATATGTCATATATTTGAAACCCACATACTGCCATACACTAAATTTCCGTATGGGGTGACAAAGCGGGCTACCTTACATGGTCATTTGAGTTGGGTCACACGCATCTAGTCTAAGGCTCTGTGGCTTTTAAGGCCGATCTCACTTCCTCCTGATTCACCGGCTGATAACTGCCTCCGCTCCACCACTGCACTTCCTCTCCCGGGCAGGAAAGTGTGCTTTAACAAGGAGCCCAGATTATAGAGAAGAAATTCAAACTGTAATGAATCTGCTGCTGCTTTCATCCTATTCCAAGATTCGTGGCAAATGGTCGCAGCAAATGGGCAGCTGAAAATAAAACGCTTGTGTCCATCAGTATAACACGATCGAAGAGCATCACCAGCTATTTTAAATGCAAGGTCCCCATTTGAGTGGACAAAATCACATTTCCATTCAACCAAACAGCAAAGCAACCTACAGAGAAACTCCAGACAATGACACGCTGCCATTGACACACCTACTCACTCCTGAGACTCAGCAGCAGCAGACTAGCAGCTATGATGAAGGTAGCTAAGGAAGTAGCGACCAGCTTCTTGTTCACATTTTTCCGTCCCACCTTAAATGGAACATAATTACATTGTAACTGCTGCACCATTTAAGGTGGAACGGAAAAATTTATTCAAGAAGCTGGCGAATGAGAAGCTGACTTCAGACTTATCAACTATATGGTGGTATTCGAGTTTAATGGCCTGGTTGTAGGAGGTCATTTTGTTTAAGAGAGGATGTAGCTGGACAGTTCTAACAGACCAAACATCACAAACACCGCATTATTATTGCTAATTTCTGATTTTCTGCTGCACAGCTGACACATTAGCCAGCTCCCCGACTGCTAACGTTAGCTAGGAGAGTTCGCCCAGTTACACCACTAAAGACCGAACTAGCAGCCTCATTTCCGTTCTTTGAGACATTGAAAACACTTAATATAACTGTTTTCGACCATATTGCTCATTAAACCTGATCACTTCGGTCACTATGTCATCATTCAAACTCAAGCAGGGTGGAGGAAGTTGGCGCTAACGAAGACTAACGTTAGCTCCGAGTTATTTGGCTAATGTTGAGCGAAAATGGAGAAACTAGGCAGAAAGGCAGACGTGCAGGATGAAACAGTATGGCTTCAAAACTGCACCACATGCATAATTCGCGGCCTAAGACATGTAAGAATATATATTCAATGTTTCTAAGCCTCCAGCTCTCTCACATCTTCCACTGTGTACCCGCTTAGCTTAGCTGCGCTTTGACAGCAGTCTCACTAGCTGGCTAACTTCCTGTCAGCGCCTCTTCTTTAATGTTGTTGTGTAGCTGCTCAAAAATTCCACAAGAGCAGAAATCTGAATGTGATTTAAGGTGTGTAGACCTACCCCAGTGCCGTTATCACAAACCACCACTTTCCTTCCTTGGCTGTCCATTTTTTGTTTCCAAACCCTGCAGCCGACAGACCCCGAACAACTTTCTCACTCAGCGGAGCCCAACCAGAACAGCGGGCTTTAACTTCCTGTACCTCGAGAAAAGGACCGTCAGAGAGCCGCGTCCTCCTCAGCCCAGCGAGCACATTACAACAGGACGGTTCGCCCTTATTTGTAAGTGAACTAAAGCTGTATAAAAACACTAATATGACTTCAAAAAATCCTAAAGCCTGCTAAATCTGTTCTTTAGCTGCATCTTACAACATTTATGAAGACTATTTTTTATCAGTTTATTTTTCCCAGCTTTCTAAGCCGCTTATCCTTCTGGGTCGCGGGGGAGCTGGAGCCTATCCCAGCAGACATTTGGCGGAGGGCAGGATACACCCTGGACAGGTCTATATACAAATATATTCTAAGTTTATTTATATTTAAATGTAGGTCACACAAATACACAGTAGTATACAAAAGTTTGGGCACCCCTGGTTAATTGACGTTTTGTTCATTTTCTAAGTGAAAATAAATTTACACATCCTCGACAGAGAAAACACTTCTGCCCATTTGGATACACACTTACTGTTTATTTGCTGAATTTAACATATTGAGGAAGAAATTATATAAAATGTAGCCTGTGCAAATGTTAATGCACATTTTAGATTTTCTTTTTTTTTTCTTTTCAAAATTGCTCCAGTCCAAAGACATGCAGTCAGGCCAACTGGACACAATAAACTGCCCCTAGGTGTGAGTGTGTGTGAGTGTAGGCCTGTCTGCCCTGCGATGGACTGGCGACCTGTCCAGGGTGTATCCTGCCTTCTGCCCTATGACTGCTGGGATAGGCTCCAGCTCCCCCTGCAACCCAGAAGGATAAGCGGTTTAGAAAATGGGTGTGTGGGCGTGTGTGTGTGTGTGTGTGTTTTTCAAAATGTTAAACCCGGCAAACAAATAGACATTATGCACTAAAATGTGCAGAAAAATGTGTTCTCTGTAGAGGATGTGTTCATTTGTTAGAAAATCAACAAAACATGTAATTTGACTAGGAATGTTTAAACTCTGGCATAAGACGGTATGCATAAATATTCTGAATATAAGAATTAAATTATATGTTAACAACAAACATTTACACTTTGACACAAAAAACATTAGTTGTTGTGTGTGTTTTAGTGAAAGGTAACTCTTTAGGTCATTAAGGATGCCTGATTCCGCTCATTAATACAATGAACTAAAGCTCCTCATGTGCTGCATCAGGTGTGCAGAAACTCTGCTGTAGGCCTGCTTTTCCTTTAGTTGAGACTAGTCATGTAAGCATGGGGCCCTGAATCAAGCCATGTAGCAAGACTGGCAAAGTCACTGTCATCTGTTTTTCAGTTACATAAAACATGTTTTTGTTTTTGTTTGTTTTTTTAGGCAAAAACTCAAAAGGAAGTATTAGTGAGTCACGGTGTAGTCAGCCTTCAGTCAAACACATAAATGACAAAAATTCAGATGAAACATCCAGAGTGCTATTTAATGTGGAAGTTTTGGGTGTGTGCATGTTAATGGGCAGTTATTCCTTTATATTTGAATCAAACTTTTACAACTACAGAGACACCAACTAAGGTTTCATATAGAACTGATACAATTTGATTATATGTGAAAAGCATCGTCTGACAATAAAAAAACAACATACAAAATGTAAACGTAATGGCCGATAGAAAATGTTTTTAAATCTTGGATGCTATAAATACCCATTGCCTTAATAACATCTTCACAAAATAAGTTTTCAGTTGCCAAGGTCCATCAGGAAGCTACCTTGCATGCCTTCACAGCAGTAATCCCCAGCAATGTAAGGAACTTACTGGATGCTTTTACTTTGTTCGAGCTCTTGGGGACTGAGGCACAGTCATTTTTCAGTCTTTTGCCTCAGATGACTCGTTTGACCTGCCTGGCTGTGCTGAATGGTGGCAGTTTCTTCAAACTGTTCAACAGTCTCTGTCTCTGTGTTTACAGACACTTGCAAGGTTCCTGTGACTGGCCTTAAAACCTAACTTTCATTTTTTTAAGTAATTACAGGCTGTCTTTTGGGTATGCATTTTTTGTTCCCCTCATTCAGACAAACTTTTGAAAGTACTCAAAATATACATGCACCAATATTATGCCGCAGTTCATGATCACGAGTAAATGTCACCATGTAAATATTACCATTCACCTCTGCATAGTTGCCCGTACACAGTTAAACCAGCAGGTGGTGCAACAGACACCCCACTGCAATACAGTCATTGCTCTCCTGTTTTTTGACTTGATTAAAGTGCAGATATAGGGGAAATGGGGTTGAACATGCATCAGCTGGAGCCTAAATCCAACATCCATAATCATTCGGTCATCTTTTTTTAATATCAGCTATCTTTATTAAATTCATAAGTTGGACATAGGGTTCAGCAATTAATCAAATTTTATTTTCAATAATGATTTTAGCTGCCAACGATTATGAAAACAAGGTAGTAGGGATAAAACTATTATTGTGCCAATCACCGTTTCACAATGACGTCTCATTTTGCCTTGTATTATAAATCCGGTGCCCCACTTTCCTTTATTTTTTATTTGTTTTTTAAAGTTCAAGAAAATCGCATGTTAAAAAGACAATATTTTCAAAGTTCAATAAATGCATGATGTTTCCAAAGTCAATGAGTAATCGTGTTGAATAATCGTGATCTCAAAATTGACCAAAATTATTGTGATTGTGATTTTTGCCATAATCCAGCAGTCCTAGTTGGAGATATATTACCTTTAATCATCTTACCTGATTTAGTTTTGTAGACTCCACCATCGGTGCTGGGTGATCTATTGTCTGCTGGTATATCATGACACTGACACATTTTCAGCAAAGTATTTAGTAGACAATCTTTATTATTTTAAGGCCATAAAATAGTGGTGTTCTTTTTGCCAAACTTCTTTTTTTATTCTATTTTGTTGGCGTTACTCGTGGTACATTGATTTTATTAATTGATTAAAGCAAACCTAAATAGCATCTGACAGGAAAGTAGTGACCGGAGTCACTCCGACAGTAAACGCTGTAGACATGGACGGAACTATTTGTGTGTCCTCGGTTTCCAGTCGGACTGTAATTATTGTAATTGAGTGTTAACTTAAAATGGCAACTGTTTTATCGCCGAGACAATGTGACAGCAATCCTGCAACGCCTGGAACCCAGTCTTTAAAGGTGTGAGCGAAAGCGTTAATGCATTTTGTCGAAAAGTTCGCTGTTAATATTTAAAAGAAGACAGCTGCGGTTAAGCGAGAGGGCCCGGATGAGCGCGCGCACCTCGCCGCTCTCTTTGTATCTGCTAGTGGAGCTACGCTAAGCTAACCAGCACGGGCTGGAGAACCATTCCAGAGTTGGAGTGAAATTATTTACCTCTGTTTATCAAGGGCGTATGTGGACACGAGATTGAAGCTGGCCGCCTTTTCTTCTTCGAATTTCCGTTCCACCTTAAATGCCGCAGTGCTAAGGCGACTCAATGTAACAGCTGCAGCGTTTAAGGTGGAACGAAAAATTCGAAGAAGAAACGCTGGCGAATAAGGAGCAAAGCTCGGCTTCCTTGTGTGGTTTAGGTTAAAAACACTGTCAAACTTGGTTTAAAATATTGACACAGATGTATGCTGTCGTTCACTTCTGCTAATAAATATAATAAATTATTTTCTATTATCATAGAGCAGCCAAAACAGTGCCACTGTAACATGTAACGCTAGCTGAAGTAGGAACCAAAACACAAGGGAAGCTAGAGCTTCCTATACGTGTATAATAGCTGTAGTAATACGTGATATATATCCATCATTATATTATTGCAGTTTATAAATATTAATAGATGATTTTCTTACATAATTTGTGCATAGGCTATACAAAAAAGATCGGTAGCTGTATATAATTTATATAATTAATTTTAAGTACCGTTCAAGTGCTTGCCATATTAACAGTATTTTAACATATACAGTGTGGATTTAAAGACTATTAAACAACTATTCTTTAAAAGTGTACTATACATTTCAATTCACATTAATTTACCTTTCTTTGGTGTTATACAGCTCTTTACGTCATCATTTTAGAATCTACTTCTCTTATTCTGGACACATTGCATGTCTTTTATTTACACTATTAAAGACTAACATTACAATAATTTCATGCCCTTATCTATAATGTGTGTGTCTGTATGTATGCATGCAGACGAGGCATCCGGACACAAAAGATTTTCTCTTTTACCCTTTTTGCCAAGTATATTGGTTTGATTGTGGTCGTACTGTATCAGGATGACATTGAAGAGAATTCCAGCGATGGCAGCCAAGCACCAAAGAGACGACGAATGGGCTCAGGAGACAGTTCCAGGAGCTGCGACACGACCAGTCATGAACTTGGGTAGGAGCTTATATCCCAATAATTTAAATCATATCTTTCTTGATGTAACAATTGTATTATGCCATTATAACCCAACATAGTGTAGATTTTAATTAAACTTGTGTCTTTGATTGATTGAATCTCTTGTGATTTGTTACAGACCAACATACTTTCCTGCTGAAAATCTGACGGAGTACAAATGGCCCCCAGACGATACTGGAGAGTACTACATGTTACAAGAGCAAGTCAGCGAGTATTTAGGAGTTACTTCATTCAAGCGGAAATATCCTGGTACGACACCCATGATGACCACGCACGCACTCTCACAATACACAGTTCTCACACTTTCACTACACTCTCTTCTGTGACAAATGGAATTAAAAATAGACTATTTGCATTGTCATTTGAATTGTTCTTTGGTTGATACAGTTGCTGCTAGATACACCGCCACTTATCTGTCAGATAAACCTTTCTGCAGGTCCTTTGCTGTCAAATATGGGTTCTGCTTTGCTTTTGGGGTTTTGATATGCCAGCATACAAGCAGTTTGGCCTGGGAGTTTTCTTGGTCCTCTGGATTTTGCCTTGACTTCCACAGTTCCCCTTAACTGCCATTTCTTAATGACAGTTTGGACATTGGAAATTGCGAGTTGGAAGCACTTTATGTTTATTGCCTTTACATTCTTGAATTGTCATAAGCTGGCAATTCCGAATGACAGTTCTTGACCTGACTAACCAGTCCTAATGAG